CATGGAGAGTCTATGGCTCAATGAAACACAAGGCCTTGGGCTTCCAGATAAGTTCTGGATTATGAGGGCTGAGGTGGTGTCAAGGTCAGGGTCAGTATCAAGGTCAGGATCAGACTTTCAGCCTAAAAGAACTGACATTCACATTATGTCTTTCCATTCCTGCTGACCCACATCCCTACCCGTGTATCCTGCAGTTTGATGGACTATGTCTCCACTCTTACTTGTATCAAGTTGAGTGGCAGCAACAAACTGGCCTTTTCAGTCCCATGGCTTGGGGAAGAGAGCTATAACACATGCCTCGACTGAGGAAAAGGGTACTAAAAACCAGCCTTAAGAGTCTCAAACTGGGGTCAAACTTGCTCTGAAAGTTTTCTAGTAGGTTCTGGGAAATTATCTTCCTGCTTTTATAGGCACTGGCACTGGGCCAGAGAGATTATGAAACCCCTGGGGGGAAAGGGACAGGGACCATTTCTTATTCAGCTTGGCTTCCCCTAGAGGGCTTCATAAAACGCCTGGCAGATGCTCAGGAAATTTGCACTGAATAGAACCGTATCTGTTACCCCAAAGACCAAACAGTAATTAATGTCTGCAAATGGGGAGGACAAGCCTACATTTCACTAGGTACATTCTGAATGACAATTATGTTGTTAGAGCGATAGAGGACCCTATCCCTTCAAATCAAGTGCTGAACTACTCCAAAGTCTGAGTCTTTTATGCGACATAGAAGCAGTATGACATTCAAATACATCACCATTCACGAAGATTCTCACAAACAGGCCTAATGAAGGCAGGGACGGTGAGTTAGAGCACAGATGCTTAGATTTCACGAAGAACAGCATAAATAAGGCTCTAATCATGGCTTCACTCAACTTCCTTCCCTGCTGCAAATTCTGAGCCATGTTTAGACTTTGGCAGTAACATGAATTCTTTCTTCTCATAAGGAAAAAAAAAAAGCCAATTCTCTAGCATTCATCATCATCTAACGTAGTTCAGTGGAAGTCAGTGGTGGCATGGGGGAGGTACTCTGAACTTGGAGTTGAAAGGGGTTTAGGCCAGTCCCACTATACCCAAGGTGTGTGGCCAACAGGATGACAATACCTGCCTTACCTATAGCCATGGGTAGCACCCTTAGAACAGTGCCTGAGACAAGGGTGAGAATGCACGTAATTTATTTGGAAGGTGATCCTAGGACACATTGCTAGGGGTTCAGGGAGGTGAGACAGGGAAGGGAAGGGAGCCAGTACAACGTGCATTATGAGCAGGTTTCTGGGAAGGCAACTGAGGCACAATTCCATTGGGATTGTCCTCAGCTGACATCTGGGGACAGACAAGAACATACCTTGAAGTTCTTGGGAGTTTCCACCCAACGGGAAAGGACACTGGGAAATTTGTCCTCCATTTCTCATCCATCCCTGGCTCAGGGCTGCCCCTGGAAGTGTTAATTCCCTGGACATCTGATCTGTTCCTCTTAATAAGATACTTATTCTGGAACCGTGGATGCTCAGAATTATGGGTGGAATCTACCACATCTATCTAGCCTGGAGGATTGTCCTGATGGGAGGTAAGAGCTCTGGGAACCCTTGGAAATGTAGTAAATGGAGGGAAACTGGGGATTAGGAAGATCATTCTTAAGGCTCTGAAATCCCTTCTGGATTAAAAATGCCTCAGTCCCAAGAGGGATCATGGAGTTAGCCCTGGCACATTAATTTAGAATAGTTCTATTTATTCACCACTCCTAAATTTGCAAAAAAGGTCCTCCCATCTGGAACAACAATGGCTGCCATCATAAATTTGCTTTGGCTCACATTTTTGTTGTCAAGGCTAACTGCTGTTTACCAGACTTTCTGCCTTGACTTAAGTCATGGGAAACCATGAGTAAATGAAGATGCTCCTAAATTTCCACAAGCTGTCTCACTAATTGAGTAAGCATTTACCAAGAGCCAGCCAGGAGTCAGGCAACATGCTAGTAATGTGACTAGGTTCCCACAACTAGAATTTATAAAGCAAAATCTCATTTGACCCTTAACCCAGCCCCAGGGGGCAGGCAGGGCCAGCATTAATGCCATCCCATTGTCTAGAAGAGAAGACTGAGGTTTAGGGAAATGAAGTGTCTTGCCCAGAAAGCAGATCTTGCAAAAGTAGCCCCCTCTGCTGGGGCTGGCTGCTTGTGAGTTAGCTCTGTTGTGAGCCCTGCTGTCCAATCTCCCTTCTAAATAAGAGGGCAAGGCAAGCGGGAGAGAGGGTGTGAAGGGCATTGCAGAAAATAACATGGTAACTCCACGCAGAAGCCATTTACAAGGTCAATGGCATGAGGTAATTTAGGAACTGGTAACCCCTGGGGGCAGGCATATCCTCTGGGCAAATTCCTGGAAGGTCCCAGAAGAGTCTGGACCAGCCTTTCTGGAAGAGGAAGCATGAGCCCAGAGAAGAGAAGGAATGAATTCGCCATCTCACAGTGGGTCAGGGCCTCAGTTTCCTTCCCCTCTGTGAAATGAGATGATAACCTGAATTCCAACCTGGACAGCCTATTCAATATTCAATTCTCTTCATCCTGGCAGAAAAGGCACCTCTGAGACTCTATGAATTTGGGTAACTCACTATTGTGCTGATGTGAACATGCCCCCAAGCACAGCATCCCTCTGTCAACAGGATCAATGTCTATTTTAAAAACATGCAAACAGGAGTATCTTCCAGCTCTAATAGTCAATATAAGCTGAACACAAAGGCAAAGGCAAAGGCAGAACACTGGCATACGTGTGCATGTGAGCACGCAGTGGCTGTCACTGCCACTCATCAGCTGTGTGTCCCTGGGGGAAACATCTCTCTTCCCCATGCCTCAGTTTCCCCATTTACTCTGTGAAGTAAGGAGATAAGATCACCTCTAAGGCCCTCCCCCTTCTGACATCCTACATATTGTTATGTGTGGGTAGCAGCTATACAGGTAGGCAGACAAAAAGGCATCAATGGGGTTTCAACACACCAAGGAAATCTGGATTTGCCCCTGAAAAGTGTCATAACTTTTGACAAAGTGCTAGTCATAATTGCTACTACTTGCTGAGCAAGAGATATATGCACATCTTTCTCTGTATGATATCATCCAGTTCATCCCACATCCTAAGATGATAAGTAGTATTATATTCTTTTTTCTTTAAGTTTTTTAAAAAATATATTTTATTGATTTTTCACAGAGAGGAAGGGAGTGGGATAGAGAGTTGGAAACATCGATGAGAGAGAAACATCGACCAGCTGCCTCCTGCACACCTCCCACTGGGGATGTGCCCACAACCAAGGTACATGCCCTTAGCCGGAATTGAACCTGGGACCTTTCAGTCCGCAGGCTGACGCTCTATCCACTGAGCCAAACTGGCTAGGGCAGGATTATATTACTTGAGGACATCAGTGCTCAGGGAGGTGAAGTCACTTGCCTGATATTCTACAGCAACTTGAACTCAGGTGAGTAAAACCCACCTTAATACTGTTTGCTACACTGCTTTCCTTATAAATGCCTAAAATCAGCCACTGGAGTTGGTGTCTAATCCTAACATCGGGAAAAGGCAATAAAATTGGCACGCACTTGTAGCTGTGATTGGCCGATCAATATTTTACAAAATATTCTCCTAGAATGATATAATTTGAGAACTGGAAATGTGACAAGAGAATTTAGCTGCAATCACTCAAGAAAAAAAAAATAGTATCTTTGCCAAGATGCTTACTTTGTTCAACCGATGAAGAAGTAAGACTTAACAAATGGGAAAGTAATTACGTTTGCCTAAAATTACATCTTTTGTGCACGTCAGAGAGCTGACATGTGTTTCAATTACCTGCCACAGGAAGACAAATGGGTAAATCTACAAGATTGCATTATGGAGCGATAGTATCCAAGGACACCTCTCCTGATTGATCTGAATCCAGTGGGGATTTGTCTGAATGAATCTGAGTAACTTGATTTCATTTCTTGCTTTCCCCAGATGACTTTGGGATTTCAAAGTGAGTTGACACAGAAGGCACAGCTTCCAGAAACATCCAGATGCTGATGAATGATCATCTAGTGCTTTTGGCGAATAACCCTGCTAATGACTATACTGAGCTGAACTGAGGTGTCTGCCTTGAGGAAGGCCCAGTCCTACTCCTCACAGATGCCCTGTGCGCTTTGACAAGCCACTGCCCCTCTGGCCCTATTTCCTCCTTATCACACGAGAAACTTAGTCTGGATGATTTCTGAGGTCCCTTCCAACTCTGACAGCAGAAAAGTTCAACAAATGTCCTGGGTCTTAAAAAAAAATGTAGTGATTATAGATTAAAAGAAACTAGAGAGACACATTAACCAAATACAAAGAGTGGACGTTGTGTGAATTCTCTAACAAACCAATTGTAGAAACATTTTTGAGCTAATTGTAGAATTAACATAGACTGGGAATGAAAGGATATTATTAATTGTTAAATGCTTTAGGTGTGATAATGGTACCATGGTTATGTTTTTAAAAGTCCTTGTCTAGTAGAAATGCATACTGCAGTATTTATAGATTGAAATGAGATAATGTCTGAGAGCTGCTTTAAAACATTTACAGAAAAAAATAGAGGGGTAACGGTGAGTCAAGATAAAGCAAGATAGGCAAAATGTTGATAATGGTTGAAGCTGGGTGATGGGTTTACTATGCTATTCTCTCAACTTCAGAATCTGAAGATTTCTATAATCAAAACCTACAACAATGCAAGTTTTCTCAGGATATTGGAACTGACTTACCCCTCCCCCCTTACTTTCAGGAGTTTCTCAGAGTCATGTGGGAGGACTGAATGGGCCTGAAAAGTAATACAGTGAAGAAAAAATATCCTAAATATGTTGAAACTACTGTTTTCACAGAGAAGTGTTATCTATTGACTTTGATTTCTCTTATCTGGAACATCATACTTTCATTTGTTTTGATGTATTTTATTGCATAAGACAACATCCCTGAAAACAGAATTTATCAAGTAGAAAGAAGAAGCATCAAAAAGCCTACCTTGAAATTGAGTAAATTTAATGGTCCCCATTCTTTCCCCGTTCCGGAACACAACTTGACCCTAAAAACAAAGCAAAACAAACAAACAAGAACAAAAGAGAAATGCCATATTAGCTCAGACGCTACTGATCTCAACTGAAATTCATTAACTATACAATGCAATTATTAATATTAGAGGAAAAACAGATTCCTGTTAGGCTACAGATGCAAAATTAAACTAATTGTTTTTAAACTGGTTGTGACTTTATCTATTTAATTTAAGGAGCACAAAATCAATAATGGAACTAACACATGTGAATTAAAGCCGAGATATGCATCATCATTATCAGCACAGCTATTTATTAAACATCCACATGCCCTGTGTAGTCCTGGGACAAGGTCTTCCAGGGCGCTGGAAGGACAGAGGCACCGATGAGGCCCATGAAGCCTGGCCCTGATGCTTCTGTGCTCCATTAAGATGTGTGGCTTTGCCGAGGCTATTTGGCTTGAGGACCAGACGGGGGCTGTAGGTCAGTTAGCATTTCTTATTAAGGACAGAGGATGTTTTTGTAAGTTCTTCCTGAGTTCTTCCTGAGTGGGGCAGCACAAAATTAAGCTTCTTGTGCCAGCGACATGACTAGTGTCACAGGCAGCTGAGCACCCTTCACTAGGGAACCCTGGGGGCTAAAGACAGTGAGTGGCTTTGTTGGCTGATACAAGGGTTCCACATGCTGGGCTAAACAAACTGGGAACATGAAGAAGGACTGGTCTCTCCTTGCCAATTTATGGTCCACCTAAAATTCTGCAACCAGGCAAGGAAATTGTCACACATTATATCAATGGATCTTGTGACAAGCTTGAGTGAAAAAGGGGATAATCCTGATTTAACAAATTAAGAAACTGACTGAGGAAGGTATGCCCTTTATGTGAGGTCACTGTAAGCTGCTGGAGTTCAAATTCGAGTTTGATTTTAATGTCCATGCTATTTCACTATAGCATGCTGTTTCTGATCCAGAAATAAAGTCTTTCCTATCTCTCCATTAATGAGATACAGGAAAAGAAATGGTCTTAAATGTGTACTGCTTTACTCTCACAGTTGTGCTCTTACATCATCAGGAAATAGCACAGAAAAGTTCAGATCCTGCTCAATTCTCAGGAGAAAGTGCCAGAAAATATCTTCCCTTGGTGGAAACTCAAAGTCTGAGGCCCTGAGGCTCTTGGCACAAAGAGAGAATCACTCAACCTGTTCTCAGAACAAGAAACACCTTCTGAAGCCACTTTGCCACCTTTGGAAATCCCGAAGACAGCTGTGAGGACTATCAGTTTGAGACGAATGCCCACCGAATTCTATATTTAGGTGCCGGTAAGCAACTCCCTGGTGTGTGAAACACTTCAGTGTAAGGTGAGACAGGAGCTGTGATTTTATTTCTAGGGATGACTGAAAAACACAGAACATCTTTCAAAAGGATCACTTTTATGCAAATGGACCACTTTGCATGGGTGGCAAAGATGCAGACATGGTCCCCAAGGAAGACATTTGTCTGACGAAGGTGGAGATCCAACTACTTCACCCATCTCCTGCCAAGCTTTGAAGAATTCCAGACTTCTAGATATAAAATGTGGACAAAGCCTGCAGAATCCTTATTAGTTAAACGAAAAAGCATACAGAGTGGTATTCAAAGCTTGGACAGGATGGATAGAGTATGGGTGGGGATAAGAAAGAATCTGCTTTTACTTTTTTGTCTCCCCCCCCCCCCATTTACTTTCTAAACAGAACTAATTAGTCAACTTTTAAAGTAAGACCTGTCATACTTTATTTTACTCACAATAATCATTTTCACTAACAGCGGTTCCTCCCAGCTCCTTAATTTCTCAGGTGATGCAGTGGAAAGAAGCCAGCATCTGAGTTATGGACCTAGCATGGCACCTCGTCTACAACAGGCACTCAGTAAATGGCAGTATTGATTTTTATTTTAAAACTAGAGGCCTGGTGTATGGAATTCGTGCATGGGTAGGGTCCCTAGTCCTGGCCGGTGATTGGGGCTGATCGGGGCCTTCCTTCCCTCAGCTGCTGGCTGCCAGCTGGGGCCTTCCTTTGTTCCACACCGCCCCCTGGTGGTCAGCGCAGGTCATAGTGAGTGGTCAAACTCGCGTCAGTCGAATTCCCAAGGGGACAATTCGCATATTAGCCTTCTATTAGATAGGATGTTTAATAGAAGAGAGCCGAAATAAGAAAAGATGGTTTAAGCACCAGGGAACTTTCCAATGCTTGGGAAGATATTTTCCACATTGTGTGATTTCAGCTGGTAAAGGGTAAACTATTGGGCCTTTATCCGAGGTGTCCTCCTCTCAGAAACAACAGCCCCCAGTAGACTGAGTTCTTGCACCACACTATTTGGACTAGCATGGGAGAGACTGAGAACTCTGACGGTGGTAACTGGATCGTGATGGGCACACAGGTGGGTAACTGGCTTTACTGAGGGTCTGCACCAGAGAAGGAGCCAAGAAGCTCTGCAAAGCCCCTTCTGGGGAAGATGTGTCATGTGATTCTTTCCTGAAGGAGTTACCATGGCACCTGCTGGGTTTGACCACTGAAGCCAACTCTGCTACCCTGGCCATGGCTGACAGGACAGGGACCATCGTCCCAGCCAATTCATCCTCTTTCAGACTGGACATGAGGAAGTTAATCAGGTGATTTTCATGAAATTCTGCCCAATAGGGGTCCTCCATATTTGAAGGTGGTCAATTCACACAATGTTGTACAAATATAGGGTGTCCCCAAAATGTAGACACATACTTTGAATAATTATAAAGACAGAGTTTATTAAAATACATTTCCCTTTCCAAAACTGAGCTATCAGCTGTTAAAGTGCATATACATTTTTTTGGGACACTGTATTTACCTACACTGGGCCAGGTTCTCTTGTAAGTGCTAATCCTGCTTTTTTGAGAGCTTTATATTTGATTAGGAAGAAAAGACAAAACCAGTTTGCCAATAAATGAATAAGAATATTTCAGTTAGTGAAGAGTACTGTGAAAAAATAAGAAGGGAGTGGCTGGGCGAGGGGAGCAAATCTATTGTGCTGCCAGGAAAGCTCTCACGGCAGAGGTGACAGAAGAGCTGAGGCCTGCATGGTCAGAAGGAGATACTCCACACAAAGGAAGAAGCCATGCAGGGCAAGGCCCTCAGGTGGCAAAGGAACAGAAAGGGCCAGTGTGAGGAGCAGAGGGGAGGTAAGCAGGCCAGATCACATTCCACCTGGAGGTCATGGCAGGGCTCTGGAGGGCAGCCAAGAGCCTAGGGGTGGGGAGGTTAAGCAAGTAAGTACTATGACCTGAGTTAATATTTGGGAAGACTGTTCTGGCTGTCAGGTAGAGAATGGATGGCAGCATGGCAAAACGAGGGAGCAGAGAAACTGGAGGCTCTACAGCTGGTAATCCAGATGTGAGGTGACAGTGGCTGAGGCTAGGGTGGTGGCCAGCTCAGAGTGCATCGCCAAGGTGGCTGAGCACTGCGGCCTGAGCAGCAGTGGACTTCCACTCTCCGCCTCCCATACTGAGTGGTGGATGCCCTGCTGTGCTGCTCTGATGCCCCCATCAGGATGGAGGCGTATCCTGGCTGCTGCTGAGTTGTCCTGCATCCAAAGGGAGCTGTGTCTATTAAGGTTATGCCCCTTCCTGGGGGCCAGCCTACATCCAATGGTCAATGTGAGGGACATAATTCTAGGCCCTGTACCTCAATTCAGGACAACGGTGAAGGACCATGGGATCCAGAGGTCCCCGTGGGGGGCTGAGGCTGGGATTGCAGCTGTATCACATTTCAACGTGTCCCTCTGCCTGATCCTGCTTCACTTCCTCCCTTCTAGGTGTTGTTCCTGAGAACACTCCTTGATAATAAACTTGCTGTATGCTAGTCTTTGTCTCAGAATCTGTTTCCTGGGAAACCCAACCCTAACACACTTGCCCTCACAGGTCACTGGGACTATATCTTTCCTGACGAGGCTGTGGGGACAGAGGCAATGGTCTGAGTGAAGCCCAGGCAGCAGCTGGACTGCTCCAGCTTCACGTGCTGGGCAGCTCAGCCAGGCCAGCTGCACTGGCTTTGGTTTCTTAAGCCCCAGCTCGAGCAGGGATTTTTCTCTCTCTCCTCACGCATGTATCCTTTATGTATATATAGATGCCGTGACTCTCCTTAAGCTTCTGCCGTGTGCGATCCCAGGGCTATACTGAGGATCAATCCATGTGATGCATTAAATTCCAAAGTAACAGAGTCTGGTAACTCTGGCCGGGGTGGTGGCTGATATCTGTTGGCTCACAATCCATACTCACTCTGTATCCTCCTCTCTGTTGCAGGGGCCCAACACCCAGAAACCACATTTCCCAGAATCCCCTACCAGCTGGTTTCCACTTAGGCTCTGCTAATGAGAAGCATTCATGGGAAATTAGAAAGTATGCATAAGGGAAATCTATTTTTTTCCCCTGCTGTGGTTGCAGCAGCAAAAGCTGAGCGACTGCAGGTGTCTGTGGGCTCAGGCAGCCCTGCACTGTCAATGTGGGGGTGCTCCTCGCTGCCTGTTCAGTGGCCAGTGGCGGTGGGGGAGGGGAGTTCCCAGAACAGCAGGAGGGTGGTTGCAGGAACCTGAGGGATCAGTGTGCAGAGGCAATGGCAACACTATGCCCCTTTTTGTGCCTTCAGCCCAGGGGCTTGGCTGTTTCTCTGAATGCTTATCTCCAGTGACAGCACCGACCTGTTTTGCTCCTCCATCCCTTCCAATAAAGTTGCAACCAGTTCCCTGTCTTAAATCTCCCTATGAAATGCCTGATTTGGTTTTTATTTTCTTGTCTGCATATTGATTGATCATGGATTCTAACTTCCGAGGAGCTTGTAAGAATGACCATGGAGCTCATCTGGAATGAAAATAAAATAATGGAGGTAAAATCCCAGGTGGAAAATTTATAAGGATTTTTGTTCTCCTGAAAAAGATATTGCTAATACCAGGGAAAGCAGTCTGATCCAAACTAACAGCTCAGGTTGAAGCGGGAGCCATAAAGCTGCATTTCTTTTTCAAAGAAATCTTCAGA